AGTCACTGTGCTGATTTCCCTGGTTCTCTAAAGAAGTCACCAATGTTGAAATGCAGCTGATGTTGAAGACAATCATGCAACCTTCCAAGAGTGCTTGGTCATGTCTAGTAGTAATTGTCAGAAAGAAAGAAGGTATACCAGGGTTCTCAATTTTAAATGGGTGAGCATGATAACTTGCATTGATGTTTTTTCTTTACCATGTGTATTTTCTTTGTTTCGACTTTGTGGCTGAGAACCTAAAAATTGTATTCTAGAAAATCTTTAAAGCAAGCAAGAAATTGAAATATAGAAAGTAATGTGGACATAAGTGGAGTTTCTTGGTCACACTGTAGAGTTAAGATAGCTGCTGTGAGAGTTTAGTCTCAAGCTGTGACCAAGCAAGAGGCTAACAGTTTCCTTGGTTATACATCATATTACCAATAATTTGTGGCCAATTTCTCCAGGATAGCAGTATCAAGCATTCTGATCCCTAAAGCTCGTTTTAATGGATGATTCATTGCTACTAATGGTACAATTATTTGGACTATTATTCTCATCTTTATTATTATTATTTTCACAACATTTCGACTAGTGAATTCTCCAGCTGTCTTCAGGTGTTATATCAAACATTTTGTATGCATCACAATCAGAAAGCCTTTTGTGAAATTACCAGGACTCGAACCCCCGAACCTGTGATTCCGAATGTGGACACTAACCACTTGGCTACCAGGAGGACACTTTGAGATGTTTTTAGAAGTACCTCTATTTTTATCTTTAGTATTTTTTCTCCCAATTTGTTTTGTAATACTGGGAGCCATATGGAGCTTATGTCTACACTTGGCTTACTGATGGAATTAGTAGTCAATGTTATGTGTGCTGCTTCTTTGATATTCCTTATTTTCCAATGTGGCTCTATGTCGATGATAGCGACTTCTCTCCATGCTGATTTGTGTTCTCCATCAGACCATGCATGTTCTGCTACGCCAGTCTTGTTGATCTTGCCCGAGATGGTTGCCTTTCTATGCTCTTCCAATCTGACAGACAACCTGTTTCTCCTTTGTATGATCTACCACAACCGCATGAAAAGTCACATACCTAGTTCTTTGTTTGCTCCTTAGACGTCGGTGGTCTGACTTTGGTGAATGTTCTTCAGAGTGTTGTATTATTTCTGAAGATGGTACTTATGTTCTATCATCCACAGATTCTCCATATCTTCCCTGATAGGCCTCTGGTGTATGGAAGTGACACAGTTGCTATCGGTTTCTCATGGGGCTGTGTCTGTTGTTAGGTGTGTCCTATGTGTTTCTGTTCTATGAAACCTTTTGGGTATCCATTTCTCTGGAATATCTCTATTAACTGGTCCATTTCTTGGTTTCGTATTGTGTTATTAACACTGATGGCATTTGCACGGTGTTGTATGCATCTTAAAATGCCTTTGTTAACAGTTCTCAAGGATGAAGACGCAGTGTTTTGCTTTTAGCAGTAGTAGCAGACCATGTCATCTGTACTTGGTTAAACTACTGTCTGCATGGCTCCTTTTTTTAACAAAGACATTTATGATCTGTTTGGTGTCGAGCAATTCTAACAAGTCATTTTCTATGCACAAAAATGCCAGTGAATTTAGTCTGTCTTGGCACATTGTGGATCAAAGTGTGTGCTTTGAGAATGATCTTTTCCTGAGCTATTTCTTTACATGAGACACAGATACATCCTTAAAATTATTAGTATGTTTGGGAAAGTTTATTTCAAAGATTGTTCGCATACCATTCTCAGCATACTTTGTTCTTGGATTCTGATAGTTTTCATTGAACCCTACCTCGTAGAGGGCAACAAACTGAAAAATTTCTTTCTCTGTTCAACACTCCAAGCCTATAAAATTTAATAATAAAATTTTTGGGGGCATTGCAGAAGTCCTCTATAGACATGGACTCTAAATTTCATAGACACCCAAATTTACAACTGATATTTTCATATGGCACTATTCAGTTCTTTAGTGCAAGTGACAGTTAAGAAAGTCTGAACTTTATATTGAAAAATCACTGTCTTCGGCATCTCCTTTGTCCCATCGCGTATTTATCTTCATTTTCGTTTATCTTTCGGCCTTATATGTCTCATATCCTGACAGTTGTTTATTCTTTTCCTCATATTCCGGAAATGAATCTTGTAATTCATGCATGAATATCTAGAGAGATTATAGTGGATGAGAAGCTGTACTGACATCCATTTGGAAGTTTTGTAATGAATAACTTGTCTGTTTTTTGCTGTTCCAATTGTAGCATAAAGCTTCTTGACTCTAAGCTCACTTGAGGCTTTTGAGAGTTATGATTTGTAATGGAAGTGAGGACTTTGTATTCCATTTTTCAAGCTCGCGTTGCATCTTAATTAATAGGTGCTTCATCTTGTGTCTGATAACCTCTATATCATTGGGAACCCTAAGTTTTCAAGCATATCGTGTAGGTGCTTCCACAAGCGTATTGAAGCTTAGGAAAACACACATAGTTTCTGCATATAGGCAAAGAATAAACAAGTTCACAGCTCATTGTACAACCAAATAGAGCAAATGAGCACAGCAGGAATTGTAGTCTGATAGTAGGTTCTTTTCTTTGCTGATCCTATTGGATGCAAGCTTGAATTATTATATTCTTTTCAGGGAAATTAATGAGAACTCTAGCAAGTTCTGTCGTTATGTGTTTATCTCTTTGATCGTGAATTCGTGAATTATTATCATGTGTAGTTTGCACTATATACCCATTTTGTCCTCTGTTTCCATAATTATTTCCCGTACTGTATGAGTGCCCCATAAAATGGAATTGACAACGCACAAGACATGAAAACAAAAAATCAAATAAGTGACAATAAACATATTTTGAACAGTATAATTTATGCATTCTTTTTCTAGGAAGGCAAACTTTATGGGAGCTTTTGAAGTGATAGAAAATTATACATGTAAAACAATTCAGAATAGAATTATTTTTCTTATTAGTGATCCCATGAAGGATATTTACTCAAACCATTTCGTTCTTCTCTTTTATAGCTCACAAAGTAACAGATCTCAATGAAAGTCAGAAAATAGTATATGCAACAGATTGGTGCAATTGCAGTCTAACTATTCATTCAAGAGCTATTCTAAAATTTCATATACATGGAGAGAAGAACTGATTGTTATTTAGCAGATGCCATTCTACAGTGTCTAAAATCTACAAAACTTGATGTTATTTAAGTGATTGTAAAAATTTCCTTCATTGCTACAATATTAAAGGTCCATATTCCTGAAAGTAACTGAAAATATTGGTCACTCGAATTTCTTATTGCAAGTTTGCAGATGAAGGCCACTGGCAAAATTAAATTGAAAGTTTATGGAATTGACTTTAGAGAGAATTCAAAAAGACTTCAGCTTCTCAGAGGGTGACAAGCCCCTCTAGAGTGATTCTCCGATATCCATTCATTTGGACTGCCTATTTCAAAAATCCTGGATCAGTCCACAAAATTACCTTTATAATAAACAGTTGTGTGCAGTGAGATTAAGATAAAAACCCTTATGTGACTAACACATATACTGTTGTAGTCTTTGTAGCAATGGTGAATATCAGCACATTATTCAATTCACCATAATCACCAAAGATGAAGGAGGAGGGAAGAAGGGAGAAAACGAGATTTGATCAAAGTAGAAGTATCTGTAGAATAGGCTTAGACCTATTATAATTAGGATGACACATGTGTAAGTTTTCACACAGATGTATTAAAGAACTAAATCCAAAGTTCAATAGTACACAATAAATATTTAGAATTATACTGCCCCCAGTTTCACAGAATATATTTTATTTTATCTTTATACAGTAAAATT